CAAAAACTAAAGTTAATTGTGGATCATTTACAAGTGCCATTTTTATTAGCACGTTTTCGTCATTTGTATCATCTTTACCTATGCAATGCTGAGAACGCCCAGTATAGTAATCACAAAAATCAAAACATTTGAAAACTTCAACAACAGCACTAACTCAGCCACCATTCCCACTCTGTAACTTTATGATATTTGCTTAATGACAAACAGTGATCTCTAACTGCCTTCCAAAAAATAAAACCAAATAAAATATGAGCTACTGAGTACAACAGAGTTTTAGCTCCCGAATTTTATATTTTCGGTCTATAATTGAGCAATGCTAATGTTATAATTGAGCAATGCTAATGTTGTCTATGGTTTGGAATAAGATGTTTGTGGTACCTTCAAACACACACATTATACCATCAAACTGAAAAGACAAGCGAGTCACCTTTTTTCCTCAGTAACCCCCAAAATAATTCCTGCTAAGGTAATTATCTCGGTGTCATCCAGAAATAACTTCTAAAAGGTCAAGTTGCTCCTTTTAGGATTGAGGAGAGCATAAGAAATGCCATGTTTAAAAAAAAAAAAAAAAGAAAGAAAGAAAGAAAGAAAAAAAAATGAAAGTTACCCTGTTTGATAACAAAACAATTCAGCAAACCTCTCTATTCAGAAAATCAAATGCAAACTTCATTAGGAAACAATATTAAAATAAGTCACCTGTCTTTATGTTTATACAACGTCCAGCCTTTACAAACTTACTAACACTAACCGAAAGACAGTCGTATATCTGAATCTAACTATGAAAAATGACTTATTAATGCTATATCCCAGAGGCTTGCCCAAATTACCCTTGTTAGTCTTGGAGTCTATCACAGGCCAAAAAAAAAAAAAAAAAAAGTAATAAACCTTTACATTGATCAGTTGTCAATGAATTACTACGATGTTTCAAAAATGCAAACGAGAAAGATACACAAGTAATCTTTTTACTCTGAAATGAATGGAAGCACTGTACCAATACATGGGCCACTCTTACTGAGGATGCATCTTATCTATCCATTTGCAATATATTCCATAAAATGGCATCTTCAAAAGCACTGAGATTTCTGCTTTTAAGTATTTCCCCTGTAGATGGCATCCTCTGTTGGCAATTGTATGCAAGGGAGGGGACAAGCTGTAGGAACTCAAAAAATAGTCCTTTCTAATGGTTATTTAGTATTTCAACAAGTCAGCTGCTCAAAGGTTTTCATAAATGTGTACGTCTACTTTAAGCTTTAATTCTTAAAATTTACCCTGTTGCATTAACAGGGTTAGAATCGACTACTAAAAATATTTCTATTCTACAGAAATCCCAGTCAGAACATTTCTGATGAATTTCTGTCCTGAGGGCATGTTAAGAGGTTCTTTTTTATTTTTCCTCTTCATTTGTTTGCTTCAAGAATGCTTGCTAGTGTTGCAAGCCTTATCCAATAAACATTTCTTATCAAGAAATCGGTAATATGTTAATGTTGGAATTGCAGGAAATTCTGTAAAGTTCCACAGCACCTGCTTCAGTAAAATGAGAGGATGTCTTTCTGACCTTTTCTTCCAAACCTGAAATCTCCTTTAGATGGATGTTCACGCACGTGATAAGAAAAGGTTTTGAAGTGGGAAATACAAAGTTTGTTACCGACCACAACCTATTGGTATCAGAGAACAAATCTCTTTGCCAGGTGCAAACAGTGATTCCAGGGTCCCAAGGGCCAAGGAAACTTCCATAATTTTTTTTAAATATTCATGGTACATAATAAAGACCAAACCTAAAACGGCAGATGAACTTTCCTACATTGCTTTTTAAGCTTCTGCTTTGACCCACAGGTTGTCAAACAAATTACAGTTATCCCCCCCCCAAAAAAAAAAAAGAGAGAAAGAAAAAAGTAAAAAGCATACAGTTCTATTGTTTTCCTTTGTATAAGCTTAAACAGTAACACCAAAAATGTCTTACCATAGGTCAGAACATGAATCTACTTTATTACGTATCTGTTAAAAACTGTCTAAACTGTATTAAAGGGTGCAAGAAACTGCAGAAAATGCCACGTCCCTTCAGAAACTAGATATTGACCAAGAGACCCTCTCAATTCTGGGTATAAGTCCTTCCAACAATTGTTTTTCATTTAATAAGGTATGCTTTTTATTTGGTTAATATCTGTGATACTTAAAAAAACCTCAGAGTTTATAATCTTGGATTTTGGCTTGCAGTGTCACAACAGAATTCTCCCAGGATGTTACAAGTGACTAGACCCAGCAAGAGGCTTAAAACATGTAAATTCTGTATCTCGCATACACAACAGTTACATTTAATTCATCAAATGTAAATACTTATTTCATTAGGTGTAAACAGTTTAATGTAAAAATCACAGTCTCAACTCAATCAAAATTTCAGTCTCTCCACTTCTGGGCAAAGTACCCTACCACAAGACACTCAAGTAGGAATCCATATGTTCTTCATCTCTCTTCCTTCTCCTGCTCTTTTCCTTCTTTTGCTCTCCCTCCCTTTCCTTTCCCCCCCAACCCTCGCCCCAGGATCTCCAACCTTTGATGCTCAGTGACACAGCCATAAACCAGAGGAAGGGAAAAGCGCTCTAAATCCTACAGCCTGGTGACCAGGACACTCTCAATTTAAAGAGGAAATCAAACACAGCCCCTCATTTCCTTAGCATATACAAAGCTGTTACATAAAAGGGGATACGTGCACCAGTACTGCCAGTTTTCCTAAGGAAAACGGATCTCCGTCTCCTGTAAAAATGTGGCTCTCTATGCACGTTGGGTGAAAACCGTCTTTGGGGAGCTTCAGCAGAGGACCCAGATCAGGCTTAGACAAGATCAAGCTGATCTTGCAGGGGCAAGAGGGGCTCAACGCTTGTACAGAAGAACTCCACGCATCTACAGATTTTTAAGCTCAGACAAATACCCAACGAGCAGAGTTGGTAGGAGGGCTAAGAAAGAACTAAGTGGGGATTTCAGGGTGTCCTTTAGCCTACAGCACTACAGTCCTGCCTGCTGGATCTGGCTTGAGGATATGCACCGTTCAAGTATTATTTTGGAGGCTTCAGTGGGACACAAGGAGCATACAGGTAGGCTACAGTTATAGTACCTGGTAAAGCACAGGTCAGCTAAACCACAGCACGCCCTCAGTCCCACTGCAGGCCTAAAGGATACCAGTGGCCTAACAGCCTGTATTTCCTACCAGTCAACACTGGCCAACTCCTGTGCTCAACACCAGCAGCACACTTTCACTGCATGCATTGCAGGGAAGTGGTTCCTGGCCTGGAGACAAACAGGCATTATCAACTCCATGCCCTGTTGCCCAGGCTTCAGATAAAGCAGGTATTTAGATCTGTGTCATTCAAACTCCCTCTTGCTGCGCTCACAGGCTTGCTGAAAACCCATGTCTGCGCACGGGCCTCTGTCCAAACAGTCTGGACAGGTGCCTGTGCTTAAAATACTGTTTAGATGTAGCTTTACTGACCATCTGCCATAGGTTAATTTCACTCGAGAGGAATTATATTGCATTCGCTCTGAAATTACTTAGCATCTTGCTCTCCAAAACGCTGTCTAATATTCTCTCTGCTTACAGTAAATAAAATAAATGTGGTAAGGCATTTTTGAAAACTGGCAGTTCAGTAGCACTACACAGATCAAATCATGACCATTCCTTTGATTTTTGGCATTAATCCTCAAAATACAGATTAATAATAGAGAATCAAAACATTTAACAAGGAATTTACCTTTTTGTAAAATGGCTGGTCTCCTATCGCCCTTGTTTTCAGAAATTCTTCACTGTTAAACACTCTATGTTCATAATTTAGATGGTCTTTTACCTCCCTGGAGACAAAAATCAATAAAAAGGTAAGTACGTTTGGAGATTTATAAGCAAACTGCACTTTTGCAGCAGCAGCCCACTGGTACTACTAGAAACACGACGCCATATCAGAAGGCGAACTTAATTTTACAAACAAGTCTGGGTTACTGAATCACAGAAGAACAGAGACACTCATAAGGAGGATTAAGACAGGCTATCTGCTGCCACTGCCATTTCCAGTCAATAGATTCACTTAGAGGCTCTGGGATCAATTTCAGTGCTCCATGGAGAAGAATCTATATACTAAAGTCAGGATTTAGACTCCAGTCCTGGAATAATATCTACGCACACAATTCCTGAATCACACACAATCCATTTGGGGCACTATGAAGATCAATGTACCTGTCCACACAGGCAGTTTGAAAGATGCGATCAGGCCTCACATTGCCCCATTACATCGCATCTCTAATGTCCACGTAAGACATTGCAGGGTATGATATTTCTTGCTGCCCAATTCAGCTCTGCTCATAAAATCTGGCAATATCTGGCAGACATGTTAAGCTAAAGAAATAGAATTATTGAAATAAAAGAGAAAGTGAGATAAAGAACTGATGCATATTTTAGTATATGAATGGTCACAACAGGCAGCAGAGGCCTGACACCATCCCTGGAAAACCACATGTCATCAGCAACTTTTATGTCCTACAGATGAGCCAAAACAAATTGTTTCAGGAACAGGATATAGGAGTTTGTCAGAGAAAAAGCTGTTCTCCGAACCCAAATCGGTGAGTAAGAAATGAAAAGTTATTTAACCTAGATGCATGCAAAGTGGCTAAAATTAGGATTCCTCTTATTTATTGCATGTTATTTCACCTATTCATACTGGATATTAAGGAACAAACGATTCCCATGAAAATATATGGGCGAAGAAGATAATCTGGTGAGTTAAAACTCGAATGCAAGCACAACAGGAGACGCTCAGACCTATGCAGACACCCAACAGAAGACCTATACATCACTTGTCTTTCATAAATCAGACCTATAAGCCCATAACAGTTTATCAAGCCATATGGGTTCAGAAAAATGGTAGCCAGTACAAGCATATAATTCTACATAATTTAGCATGGGTTTGTTTTAAACATGAAACCTTGGCACATAAAAATACTACAATGCCTCACTGAAGACAGTAGCAACTGGCAGCACAACTGCATCAATAGAGATTTACTTTCCTTCGCTCCTGGACTCTGGTAGATATAGCGTTAGAAGACAGAAGAGACAATGCTGAAAAAAAGAACAAAAAGAGAAAGTTTGAAGGAAAGGAGAAAGAAAGCGAGAAAAGAACCATGCCTTTTGCAAAACATGTTATTATCTCTTAGAGAGCAAAGCATCTGTTCATTTTCTGCAGCCAAGTGTTTAGTGCGTTAAAGAGTTCAAGCTGTTAGCAGCAAAACTCATTTCTGCTCATCTCTATCTGAAACATATTGCTGCCAAACACAGAAATCGACCAAATCCCACAGTGGCAGCACATCAGGTTGTGAATACGGTTTCATTTGCCAGATCCAGCTGTGCTAGCTGGGTAGTATGTCATTTCCTCCATGCTCAGCACTTATTGCCCTCCCCAAGGTCCCAGCTACTTGCACAAACATTCCCTAAGCTGATTCAGTGAAAGCCAGCAGGTTTGCAAAGACCTGGTATTCAGACTATTTAACCCAACATATCTGGGCTGAAAGTCTTAAGAGCATTCCCGTGAGCAGTTCAGGACTCATCTGAAGGGAGCATCGTCTCCAGCAAGAGGCAAGGAGAAGCAGCTGGGGATGTGTATTGGCACAGCTATTTGCAGACCACCAGCCATACAATCAGTGAGCTTCCTTAGGCATGTCAGGTAGGCAGTTTCATTCTCATGGCTGAGTATGTTAATATCTATGTAAAAAGAAATGAAGCACATGCAAACTGATCCTTCCTCTGCACTTTTTCGAAAGGATCACCTGCCACATTACCATTCATTCGTTACTTGCCAAATTAAAGCAGGATTTGTAGCCAGCGTTCTGATAAGATGAAGCGCACTACAGCTATCAATACGTTAGGTTAGGTTAAGACTCAGAAAAATTAGTACAGCTGGACCTTTTTCCAGAGGGAGGAGGGCAGGGGTAGGAACGCAGCTTCGGTCACAATAGCACCTTGGTAGTGTTCTAGCAAAACGAAACTTCTTCTTGCGCAAATCTACAATATTGTATTAATAAAGATAATATACGGAACAAGATTACAATGTGTGAGAAATGTTAAGCATAAATTATGGAAAGTTTCTGGAGCACAGATTTATGACAGACACTAACACTGACAAGAAAATTAAAGCAAACTGCACATGTTCTTTTGTTCGCCACGAAAGCGCTGAATTTAATTTTTCAGGATGCTGGCTGCTATCATTAAGACCAATTCCTTATCTAAGTATGGGGTATACGACACACTTAAAATCACTTATTTACTATTCTTTTTTTTTTTTTTTTCCTCCCCTTACCTCCCCTCCTCCCCAAGCATTTCACAGCAGCTTCATAACACATGACTGGATAGCAACAACCACACTGGTGAAATAGAGAGATCAGTCACCAGATCACAAGGTGTGGATGCCAGAAGAGAACCACAAAGAAGAAGCAAGCCTCTCAGCCTCCTGCTGACTAGGACAATCGAATCCGTTTCTCCTAAGTGAAAAATATCCCTTTTTCACTGCCCTCACAGAGGTGCAGATCTACAAGGCCTCGGACTCACTCACTTGACCACCGAGAATAATCAATACGAAGATCAGAGTAAAAGTGATAGCTGGGTCATTGAATCTAGTTCCCTATTAGTATACCATTTGATTTTTAATTTTATCTAATTTAATCTTAAAAGTTACTTCATCTATACCCCACATCGCTGCTAAAAATTTCACCCCGCAACCACACTCAAAACCCAACTGTTCTTGTGCCAACACTGTCCTTGGGCTTCAACAGCTCTTGCCTCTCCCTTCATATTCACTCTCACATGGCTGCAATCTGCAAATACCTCATCCCTTCTCAGCGTGTGTTCAACCAGCCAAAACACGCCCAGGTCTTCCGATTTCCTGATCCTGCTCTTCTCCTCTGTCCCAGTTTAAATTCATTTTTCTCTCGCATAAATGACCAAGGCCGCGTATCTATTACACACAAATAAATACACATACTGGGTCTCAACCTCTTCTTAAGCATAAAATACGAGGGCTACACTTCTCTTCCTGGAATCTTCATACAAGAGATACCTAAGTTCAAAATCAGAACGGCTTAAGCTAAGATGTCCTGGCAACAAATACGCACCCAAATACATTAGTTATGGGCCAGCAGGACCTCTTTCTCACATTCCCTCACAAAACCTAGGAGATTTACAAAATATCTATAAAGTAAGACGAAATAAGAGTATTTTCAGTGACAGTGAAAGTGTCCATCTTAACAAGCACCATGTGCTCATGCAATAAAAAAAATTGTATCCCCTCACCTGAAGATATTAACGATTAACTGCAAAGCTGTTTGCTGAACTTCACTGTTGAGTTTCTGCTGCCAAGACCTTCTACGCATCTGGAGTTCACCAAGATCTGTGCTAGCACCGAGATGGCAGAGCTCTAAATCATAATGCAGCTGAAGACTCTCCACTCTACACAAAAAAGAAGCAAATTGTCAAGTTACGTGCTAACACCAATTTTTCTTCTGTCATATCTTTTAAAGAAAAAGTAATTTAGACCTCACACCCCTGCAGAGAAAGTACAAAACTGATGCACAAGGGTTGAAAAAATAGCAAGAGTCTTGATCTTACTGGATCACATAGATTACAGTGCATTAAGTTTTCTGTAAAACAGAACAGCAAAGTTCAGAGAAAAATCTGACCAGTACCAGTACCAGGGATTGGCACCAGTAACCAAAAAAAGAAAAAGAGCAGCATTATGGCAGAATAATATGGTTATAATTACGACTGCTTAAAGTTACCTGTATATTAATTAGATGAAATCTTTAATTTTTCATCAAATGCAATGGTTCTTATATGAATGAAATAATAATAATGGATAATAACAAAAGAAAAAAACTTACAAAGAAGGCCTAAGATATGCACTAGCATAAACACAGCTGCAGCTTCTTTTTACCTTTTTATGAAAGTTTCTGCTGCTTGTGCTGGAACATCTGGAATTTCAGGCTCCTCCTCAGGTGTTTTTGAATGTGTAATATCCCCATTATCAATATTGATCAGAATTAAATCTTCAGCCTCCTTTTAATGAAAGAGAACAGAATGATTAAAATACTTTTACAAAAGAAACGTATTTTATTTCTTCTTTACACACTCAAGTAATAAATTATTGCAGCAAGACAAACCAGAAAAGAATTGAGTTTCTACCAACTAGATTACATCGATAACTAAACAATGACTTTCAAGAAAAAAAAAAATGTCATTAATTTAGCAGGTATTAGCTCAGTACCCAAACCTCTGGTAACCTAATATGCTCTTTGTGTAGAACTAAATTAATACTAAATCTCTAAGTCCTTCCTTGAAAAGGAACACATATGAAGATGTATGCAAAACAATCTGAAAATTATTGCAAACAAGCTCCCTAAAAGCTGTCTCCCTTCAGCCTTTACTTCTGTTGCAATTCTAAAGGGCGAGGGGGAGTGGGAGGGATTATATATTACAGCCTCAAACATAAGAACATACTAATGTAGAAAAGGTGACATGGAGGTAAATTCTTCATTGATCTCTCAATTTGCAATTTTAAAAAGTTAAGGCTGTAACACAGTGTGTAAAAACAAAAATAAAACCCTTTCAAGTAATAGCAAACAGAAGTGTATTCTTTACACTTTTCAGATTCTTTACAGATTCTTTAATCTGTACTTATTCATGATAATGACATTGGCTTACAGCTAACCTTACAGCTGAAATTATTTTTAATATTTCATTTCAATTTTGCATTTTGTTCATTTCGGACCTGAACAGACTGACCAATTTCAATTTGGCTTATAGTCAGATCAGATAGATTTAAATAACAAACTTATACAACTTTTCTGTGTTTGGCTTCCAGCACTTGCAGAAAACCTATGTGAGACACTCTCAAAAAAAAAAACAAAAAAAAAAAAAAAAAAACAAAAGGATATACACATTAGCTCTTGTAAACCCCTCAACTGTGAGGTCAAGATATTTTTTTATGTTTTTGAGAAACTAAAAATATTATTTCCCACTGGAAGAGGCTTAGTTAATTAAGATTCTGAAAGAAAAGAAGACAAACTCAGAATAATTCTGAAATTATAGTCATTACATTGCTACTTTTCATAGCTTTCATTTCTTCACCTTTTATAGGCTCAAACAACAAAAGCAAATGTCTAAGGTGCACCTGAAAGAAGCAAGGGACACATAAACGTGCTGAAACTGAACAGCACGAACAGTTGTAATGCTCTACAACATACCATGCTAACTTCTTCAAAATGATCAGTATGACATCCCATAAGAAAAGATGTTGGGGCCATTACAAAGTCCAGCATTTGACGAGACAGAATAGGCACAAAAGTGTGTTGCCACTGAAGAGGATGAAGGTACAACATAAAGCATTCAGCCACAAGTGTCAGCAGGGCCCAGTCAGAGGAGAAGAAAACAATTCTCTGCTCAGTTAAAATACAAGTCATAATCTGGAAACAACAAAATAAAAAATGTTTACAAAGAGTTACACCTAAAAAATACAATATACACACAAATACTTTTATCTGCTAGCGAGGCTGAGTTTCACAAGTTCTGTCTTCCAATTGCTACCTTACAAATTCATAAATAAAAATCATGTCCACCTGGAGAATTCTTATAAAATTCACCAGAGGTCAAAGTAGAAATGGAGAGAAAATTTAAGTGACAGGTGAAGTCAGTGAGAGTTTTGCCACCAAAGTCAACGAGGCCAGGATTTAGCTGGAAACGCTGATAAGAACTGTCCCCTCTTTCTGTCACAGTATTAGGCCTTTACAGCACTCAGATGAAGACAACGAGCAAACCAGTCTGACTGATGTTAAACACAAAGACAATCTAGATTTTAGATATCCCAGCCAAATAATTCGAGATAGCAGCCAATCAGATTCCTCATATTGCCATTGCAGAGAGATGTCTGCACAGAGCAGCTCAGGAAGCTATCTGGAGATGCCTACTGATGTAAAGGGACCCAATGGCACCTGAACACCAAACTCAGATACCTCAAGTTAGCTGGGATGAATCCAAGTCACAAAGATCACGTAACACTCACGGCATACAGGTGGGACATACTACATCGGTGCTGCAACCCACGCACTGGACTCTGGATGCAGCAGTTGCAGAGGGCCATTTAGAACTTCAGATAGTTTTGCTCAAAGCGTGCAAACATGGGTGGAAGAATGGGGAGATATATATGTATGTATATATAAAGTCAATACATGTGTGTGTGTATGTATGTGTATATACATATATTTATATATATATATATATAAACACACACATACACACACACACACATATATACACACATATATAATACATAGAGTCAATATTGCCTACTCTCTGGACTGAGGAAGTTTCCAAGCATCCCAGGTAAAGTTGTTAGAAAGAGGTCTCCCACCAGCTCCTTTAAAGGAATACCGATGACTTTGAGCAACCTGATCTAACTTTGAAGTTGTGTTGTCAAAGGTGGCCTTGCTTTGAACGGGGAGCTGGATCAGACGGCCTCCAAAGGTCACTCCAAACCAAATCATTCTATCATTCTATGACGCACTGCAAAATATTCTTTGCAAATGGCTTCTTGTAATTTCTTGTCTTTCTGCACCATTTGCACTTCACTTAAACGAGAACGCCAACTGTTACAGATCGATCCTACAGGTAAGCTAAAGTCTGCACTTAAACAGGGATTCGGGGTCTCTCTCACACATGAGAATGAATCCTACAAATCTTCTAACCTTGCATTTTATGACAATTCAGCATCAAATCTGTCAATCAGCTTGGGCATTTATATTTTAAAATGTATGCTTAAGAAATTTAGCACCCATTTGTATACCACAACAGGAAAAATAAATCCAATGTGCCTTAATCAAATCTGGTCTACACATACCGAAACGTCTTTATGATAAATATACTTTATTCACAGTTGCAGTATGGCACAGTATCTCTAGAATATAAAACCAAGACTACTCTGAATTTCTGGGTTTATGATAACTACAGTATCTTTTTTTTTTTTTTTTTTTTTAAATCACAGATCACCAGTACTGTCTCAAACCCGTCTTAAAGTATCTGTTAGCCGATTTTACCTGCAGCACCTGCTCTGGCTTGAAACACAGCAACGGAAGATGAAGATCTAGGTCAATAATTGGACTGTCTGGATCCTCTCGTGAAGGAATTATTATTTGAAGCGGTTTCATATTAAATACCTGTTGTAACAGATGTTTTCCATTTACTTCTTTAATCAAAGCGTTCCCACAACGCATCGCATTCCTAATTTTGGTTCCAACTACAAAACATTCAGATTACTTGAGAGCAAACAGACAGGTATTTGCATATTGCAGAAAATTGAAAGAGAAAAGATATTCGAACTCGTTCTAAAGATCAGCATGGACTTTTGTTTCCTTTCATTCTCACAGGTTGGCTGGCTGATAAAGCTTACCAAAAATATAATCAAATATTCTTTTAACAGACTTATAAAACCCGCTTTCTTATAAACATAGTAGAATAATAGGATTTGTACCTATAGACACAATTGAGAAATCAAAGTATTGATAAAATCCATACAAGAAACGGAAATGAGAGTACGAACAAAAGAACTCCGCACTCGTACTTAAGACAACAGAACAAGCCAAAACTAACAAGCTTTTTCAGTATTTCAACTATTCCAGCTCAAATCTCTATGGGCCAGACCCTGCATGTCCCGTCTACCTCAGCCCTTGGAAGACGGTTTAGCGAATCATTCAGACAATTCTCCAGCTTTGATACTTTTTCTCTGCTCCTTACACCTCATCCCAATGTCAAGGAAAGCAGCTGAGGAGAAGTGCATGGCGGAAGCGCTGCTTTGCTACAAGCCTTTTCAGTCAGACCAAAGAGAGCGTACTGAAGTCATCGACTCAGCTAACATCCACCATGACTTGGGAAAGGTTATAAAGAAGAAATACAGCCCACACATCTTGGCTTCTATATTGAATACAAACCTTTACGTGACTTTCTCCTCCCAGCTGGGTCTCAGGGTTGGCAGCAGCCAAGCCACACGCACACACTCCACAACATTTAACTCACCACTCACTGTTCTGCTTCCCCAGAATTGTTCAGACACAAGAAGAAAACAAGTCCAGAGCTGCGCATGTTGTTCCAGTAGCTTTTTTTTTCTGGTCTCTTTTCTTTCACAGGGACTGCACTACTTCTCAGGCACATGGCTGAACATACACCATCCCACACTTCCGCCAGTTAATAGAGTTATGTGATATACTGGGGTTGGTACGTGCATACTCAATGAGATGGCAATGGCATACCGTTCAACCAAAGGTAAACTTCTGATCTTCTAATAAGGGAATTACGGACTGGAGCTTCCAGCCGCCTTTAACAGAGATTACGCGGGCTGCCCCTCCAGAGACCAGAAGCTACATTACGTTATCCTCTGGACCTGTCCAAGTGTTGTTGCAGACAGCTCATGCCTGTTAGGTACTGAATCCTGGCTAATAGGATATTAAAAACTAAACAGTATAACCACTTGGTACGTCAGTGTGCAAGCCTGCACCCCATGAACACCATTACTGGATCTACTAATAACACACAGCCTTTATTTTCAGAGCATAGGTTTTGACACCAGTTTTATGCCAGCAGGTAAAAACTCCGATCTGACAGTGAAGAATTTTCTCTAAACTATACAAAGCAGCATCCTAATACTTTACAACACATAATGGTAAAGTAATTATGAAATTTAGCATCAGTACTTACCAAGTGCAGTGGTCCTGGTGGAGGGCTGGGTATTAAAAATAACTTTGCTGCAAATTCTTTTATGGGCTCGTCAACATCGAAATTCCTGAAAGGTCGCAGTTGCACTAGTAAGCTGAAATTAAATTATAGCAAATTATTTATAAATACTAACAAGCAAACCGACTTTTTGCTGATAACCTAGAACTAAAAGGATTATTGGGAGCAATGAAGTTATTATTCCAGCTAATTAATTTCTAATCTATTAGATACGTTAGCGGCTCCATTTAATTTTAACGATGCTGCTGTGCTAGAAGCACGTTTCAAGTTTTTTCTACTTCCACATATAAACTACTGCTATATTTTATATATCAGAGGATGCATCTCACATACTGGGTCGCAGGGTAGCAAAAGAGACCTAGAGGTGGGAGCTAGAGGAAGCGCCTTTTAGATGCTGCTTTGAGAGCAACACACCCACAGCTGCAACACAGTGCCATGGGGTCTCCCATCGCATCAGATATCAGCTCTGGAACGAATGCATCCATTACCTAAGCAGCTGTTTTGGCAAAAAGAGTCAAAGGAAAGGAGAAGTTGTAGGTATGAAAGACGAGTTTAACTGCAGAGGAACGTGAAGCAAGAAGCATGCTCAGCACGAGGCCTTGCAGGCCTGCATGAACACTGCTCTTTGAAATCATTTCTACACACACAAAGCATAAACACAGTTGTTCAAACCTGTCAAATATGCCTGTTCTGGAACTCTATTACCTTAGCTGTTTCAAAGCCACAAAGATCTAAAGGTTTATATTAAATGTCAGCCCAATTCATGAACATTTAAACGTGCATGATATTAAGACTGCAAACTGGTAAGTCCAATAGCATTAAATGCATGAAATGTAACAATTAAGCAAATAGGTATTTGTAGTTGGAAGGGATCAACGTTTTATCCAATGTAAGTCTCACGTGCATGTTTATAGCTCTCTCGCTCACTCTCGCTCTCTATTTCTATCCGTTACACAATCAGAAATATAAGCTTGCAGATTCCTATGTACAGGAATTAGGAGCTTAATAAGGTTCTATTTGCCCTCAAGGTTTTACTTTGGTTCATAGTTTTACTGATTTCCTAAAGAAGGATATTTGCTCGGGTTGGGGGGAGGGGGAGGAGAAGGGGAGAAGTGGTCTAGAAAGCAGATGAATACCTCAAGAGATATAGAAGAATCCAGGATATCACATTTGTGTGTGGAAGCTGGATTCCTGAATCAAAATATGCTGCCTTTATGTTATAGAGCTTTTTAATGGATTAGTGAGACATAAAAGTTTACTAAATTCAGACAGCCCTGGACTGACTATTACACCATTAAACATTTCCCCAAAAGTCCATCAGCTATTTGGGAAGGCAGACCAGGGACTTGAGAAATCAAAAATTCTCAAAGAAAAGCAGACATTTTAATTCAGTACACTGCCACACCTAATACATTACTAATAGTGTAAGCAGACCTGTTCATTTCTTTGAGACAAAAAGAACATATCAGCACATCCAGTAAATGTTACAACAGAAACAACTTGACCCTGACACTGAATAAGCAGTAGATGTACAGAAGGGACGGTAAGAGCTTCTTAATCAGTACACTGTGACCATTAATGCAATGTAACAGCAGCTGACAGCTCTGCACTGCAAACGTCTGCTGTTATAAATGAAGTAATCTGTGAAACATTAAAGCAGGGAGCTAAGGAGTTTATGAACCCTCCATTACCTCTATTAACTGTCTGCAGAAAGATTTTTCAGAAAGCAAGAACACCTAAGAATGGTTCTTTTGTACTGCCTCAGTGCTCTGAGCTATTTGCACACTTCCAGCTTTTCCTCAAGGCAGTTGAAAGGACTAACACACAGGTTGGAAAATTTACTGTTTGAGTGGAGCCTATTCACCCATCCGAGATGAGAGTTCATCCAGAAGCTGATTACTGCCAGAAATATTTCACTGTACACGGAGCATAACAGATTGGGGTAAAAGGAAAAAAAAAAAAAAGGAAAAAAAAAACCCCCAACATACTATGCAAAGTGCCAAAACCTCTCAGTTTAATACCAAATCTTTTAAAATAATCCTATAGAGTAATTCAGCAGTGGTAATGTTATGAAATGGTCTAGATTCACACTTTTTTGTTAGGAAAGAGTCAAACACACTCTATTCAAGTTGTTCTGGATTTGGAAGCACTGTACATTAGTAATACGTCAATTAATTATGAAATTAATGACACAGAATATGAAGATCTTCGTCATTATGACAGAAGTTGGCAAGTTCCCCTTGCGGCTGGACGTACCTTAAGGGATTTATAGTTTGACCCAGCCTCTGCAACTTAGTTTTGTCACAGTTACTCGGTTACAGTGTGATTTCTACTATACGCTGCCATTTGAAAACGGTTAGGAACCTGTTTTTTATCTGGGAAAGCTCAGGACAATAAAATACCTTGGGAGAATCTCTTAAATGAATACAGATACTACCTCATTTATCCTGTTCACTGCAGGTTCTGGAGAAAACAGGCTGTGTGTGACAGAAATCTGGGGAAATATGAAATCTTTTGCTACAACAGGATCCTAAATGGAAGCAGAACCTCTTCAGATGCTACTTCAACATCAGGCCTATAGCAGCAATAATATATAGTATTTTCCCCACTAATTCCCACCAGGAAAGGGCTTCACACTAGGAGTACATAGTTTCAGGTCCACCATTTAGTATCTTTGAATCCCTGGACTTGCAGGACGATCAATCAGTTAAAGCATCACACAAAACATCACTGAGGCATACCAAGGATATCAGTTCCCTATTGAAAGTGTTATTATTTGTCAAGTGCATACACTTTTTCAATCAAAACATTTATTTAACTAGGTTTATAATCCATTGCGCTCTGATTACAACTAAGACCTACGAAATGAAAATAACTCTAATACCTTTTCTGGTTTATAGGAAAACAATATTAAAATTGTTAGGTTACAAAACAGCGAAAAATCATTAGCTAGATGGTTCACTATGCTCAAAAGACATTCCCGAGGTCTTGCTTACTGGAGTTGCCTATATTCCATTCAGAGCAGCCATATATCCCAGCAGCTAATCGCTTTGTGCGATATGGAGAAAAAAAAAAAAAATGCAGTAACGCAACCAAAACAAACACAGAAAAATGCTACCTCTCCACCCTTTCCTCTCCTCCCACTTAAATTTACTCTGGCAAAGTAAAATACGTACTTTGTTCACACGCACAAAAACATAATAAGGGTAGGCTTTCTGAACTTATCTATCAAATGGTATCAAAGAAAAAAACATTGTTATTATAACTTTAAAAAAAATATAGAAGAAAATAACATGAAAACGTTATCCATTGAGTTTCCAGTACAGCAGGAAATGTGAACACCAAAAACAGCTTTGCGACTTCATTCTTTCAGTTAAACATACTTTGATTAAGTCTTGAAACTTGTATCCAGCTACAGCTGCTAACATGGATGGAGGAGAGCTGTGCACCTGTACAACAAATTCCCCTATTATATGATAAGGTCTACACACAATACTAACGTGGAAGGCTATTACCATACAGATCTCCTCCGCAATTATTCGCGTATTTATAAATCAGCTAGAACTTAGTAGGCAGGGTACTGATAAATGTGACCTCTCCTTGCTAACCAATACAGACTCAGCTTAAGGAGGAAAGTTATCCATAGCACTTAGCTCAGAGGCTAACGGCTTTGAGTATGTGCAAAGACTTCTAATGGACGATCAAAGCAGAGATGCTTAATCATGATGTTTAAAATGCCTATCTTGAGGCAGATGTTTGCATCTCAGGAGAGCTGACTCTACCTCCAAGTTTCTTTCAAGCTAGTTCCTGTCTGCTCTGAACAAGTATGAGACACCCTAAAATGCTTTCGTAACCTCTGGAAATTTCCTGGCTTTTCCTGAATATTTTCCCACCTCTCCCTTAGCGGGCTGTTTAAAAATCTGTTCACAAATTGCCTGCTTCTCCCAGCTCAGAGATGTCTCACTTCAGAGAAGAAATGACTCACTTATGAATATACTATATAAACCACTGATGAGCATCACAACTGTAAAGCTGAATCTAGGCTATTTCCCACCCAGCGGAAAGCTAGCGCACAGTAAGTCCCCAGAGAGATTAAGTTCACAGTATAAAAGAAGCATGAATCCTGTTATAAAGACTGTATATGAAAGGCAAAGTACCATAAGGCGTAAAGATTTAAGGTTTTGCTCCCACAGGAGCTCAGCAATAGAGCTCTAACAATTACACGTACCGATTAGCATGTACTGGAGATCCGAGACTTAAAAAAGCAGCAATGAATCAGCTCCTGAAATACCAAGGGCTGATGTAACTGACTTAAACTTAAAAAGTAGAAAAAATGATCTGGGCAGGAAAGGCGGACAAACATTTCCTTTTCATTTTCCTGAATATCTTGATCTTGTTTTTTCTATCTAGTTTCCATCACGTCAAAGCCCACTTTCCACATTAAACTCATTTCCTAACGCTTTGACGACGACAGCGTAGCACTATCGTGAACATCAGCAATGTGTTTGTTCCTGCCTAAGAGCAGTCGACAGTCACTCATTTCTGATAACACAGCTTTTTAAGAGGCAACATCTGAACAGCCCAGCATGAAGGTGCTGCTGTGCACCTCCAGGACTCTCCTTGTCTAAACCAGGGAGAGCCAGCGAGCGCTCCAGGCAGACCCAAGCCCATAGCCTGAGGAGGGAGAGGTACATAGGGTGGGGAAATGAGTGCTCACACCTGCTCCCGGTACAGTCAGGCTAGGGGCTAGCTATGCACCCACAGCCAGCACCCAAGAAGCTCTCCTGAGCTCTGCAGTTTAGAAGCAGCTTCACAACCTGAGGAATCGCCAAAAAAAATGCTGTTATTTGCTCACCTGCTCAGCATAGACAGTAGGCAGAAACAAATTGGAAGAGTTCAGCTCTGACCCAAAAATCCTAGCAACTTTCCGTTTACAAATAAGGACATTACCTGCTGAAGCAAACACCTGCAAAAGCAAACCATCTGACTTCAAATTTGACTCTACAGAGTTTGACTGGAATTCAGCGAAAAACCTCTTTCCCCCTTGGACAACTGAAGGTCTGTAAACGCAGATTATCCAGTAATAACCAAATGTATAAAGACAGGCTCCCTGATGCAAGGAGCTTTTAATCCACTTCAAAAGAAGAACATATGAATTTTCCTTGACAGTTATAACATGCCTTTTCTTACCGTCTAGGTACCATTCACATGACACTTCTCCTCTCCTTTGCCTCGCATCTCCTTTGCCTCATGCCATCTTAACTTAAAATTAACTCCAGTCTTACCATCATGAAACTAACACACATAATGCAAATTCACGTATTAAAATCTGCATAGTTATTTCTAGCAGAAACACAGAGGAAAGCAATTCTTACCAAGAGAGGCAGTCCTTGAGGGCATTAAAATATGGATATCTGGATATAACACAAATGGCAAACGGTACAAAACAGCCAAGCGTTTTCCCAGTCTGTACGGATTCCCACTGGGCATGCCCATTTGAGGAAAAACAGCCATCCTACAAGAAAACTACAGATTAATGTGTTGACGTTAATCGTGAATTTATGGCTGGTCTTTTCAGGAGAACACAAGAAATATGATACCCAATTTCCACTAAACTTCAAGGGAATTTGGGTGCCATCTCCCTTAAGCTCTTCAGAAAAATTTCAGCCTACAAGACTTCTACACATTAAAAATTTTTTTAGCGCCAAAGACACTTACCAAGAACACGGAGTTCAATCATCACACAAATATTCTTAGAACAAAGAAGATGCTCAAAGGCCAAAATCTGCTCTTAAGCACTCAGTCAGAACTCCTAATTGAAATCCATAACAGTTGTTCCCGAGTACATTAGAACAGCACTGCCTTAAATTAGAGCGCCACTATAAAGTACAATTTGTTCTCTGTTCCTACTAACATAAAAACATAACTGTAAACTAATTTCAGAAACTAAACCTGCTATTATTCTCAAGGTGTTTTATTTATATCTTTTAATACGTTTTAATAAAAGCATAAGTTAAATAACATACTTGCATAGGCTGGTAGTACTGTGCAACAACACCATATGTTCTGTTACCGCAGACATCTGTGAAGACCAGGAAGTGAATGTGGTCCTCTTTTGATTCAGAGGTTATATAAAGTCCTCCTACAATTAAAGCAGAAACTTTTTATAACTACATATATACCGACAGCCACTTGAAAAATGATTAGTCATGACAAGTATTGTACATTTCCACTTAATTTCAAGAGAAATGTCTCATTTTAAGGGATTAAAATGCACATATATAATCCATTTAATCTAAGAGTTATTATACAAAGGTTGTAAGTCACACCTTACCGAAAAAGCAAAAATGCAAAATTATTAGGTAATACTTTAAAAAGCCCATCTATTGTATTTTGCTATTTATTTTTTAATATCTATCTACCTATACTTAAAAAAAACCAGTTCTCAGTAAGAAGAGAGAACCCCTCAGTACCTGGGAAGCATAGCTGTGGCAAACCAATAAGGTCAATGTCCTTTGGAACTGCAATTTCTTCAGTATCAGCTGCTTTCTGATCCCCATTGAGACTCTTCACATTCTCAATCTTCGGTCTCTCTTTCTTCTTTCGGAAAGACCGACGTTTACTTTTATTCAAGTTATTACTACTTGTGTTAATCACCTGAATATCGTCTTTACTGATAAACGGAGGCACGAACACAGAAAGAACTTCTGGATCAAGGGGAGGAAGGCTTTTGGGTTTCCTCTGAGTACCCTATTAAAAAATATATATATCTATATTAATACATGAAGTTGACACTCATTCTGCTAATTTTTTTAAATTGCTGTTAGCCCTGTTTTCTCTCTAGCCCTAACACTGTGGATTTAGAGTGTTTTTTCTCCTTCCTTAATTCTTCACATTTCCTTCTAATTTCTTGTTGGAAATATGTTAATTCAATGTGAACACTCTCATCAGTTTCAGTAGCTAAAGAATTGTTCTTCATCATTCAAAACACACTAAATCAACAATGCACCTTTGGCCTAAGAAAACTAACAAATAGAAAATAAGATGCTTCCTTCTTTGAAGAGCTAGGATTAAGTGTAAACTATATCTAAAATAAAAACTGGTATTAAGAGAAACCTGGCAACAAATAAATGAGAACAAACAGAGAAAGCTGAACTCCAAGATAAGTCTTTGTTCAATTTTAGGAAAAGCTACATGTTTACTCAGAATAAGCGTTACAGAAAAACAACTTTCACAAGGTAAACTTTTTTTAACTTGACAGGGCAATTTAAAACGTCCGTGCAGAGAGTGTGAGTGAGTGAGTGAGTGAGTGAGTGAGTGTGTGAGTGTGTGAGTGTGTGAGTGAATATATATATATATATATAAATAAAATAAACACAATTGTTTTTAATTGCAGGACATTGTTATTTAGGACATCGTAAAATAGGAGGCCATAAAAATTTTTCCACCTACTGATGGAGAGTGCAACGTGTATCCCAAGATTATGTATGACATTACAAAATTCCATAGTAAGCAGCTCTGTAAAGAACTACTGTGCGAAAAGTCCTTGCTGTTTCACTTCAAAGAAAAACTTCTGGAGAAAGTAATCAGAAGAGGAGATTCCCTTGTACTTGGGAGTGCTTATTCTATTCTTTACAGTGAGAAAGATGCAAGTAACTGCATTTTGAAATACTTCACAATAATCTTAATTCATTCTGCAAGGCCAAAATACAGCAAGTAAAACCTTTGATTAGTCAAAGAATATTTGGGGACTGGAAAGGCAAGCCTCCATGTGGCTAGAAATGCTTTGCTTTGTGTTCACTCTTTGCTAATTCCAGAACAGACAAAGCATACATGCTGCTTCTTACTTTCACCTCTAGGTATAACGCAACAGTATTACTTGCATTTAAATTATTCCTTGAGAACCACTGATGGCCTCTCTCATTATGTTTTCCCCACTTTTTAAAGCAGCTACAACATACAAAGCTTTACTGCTCTACTGAAGCCCAGTCTTCCTCCACCAAAGTTTTGGAACAGAAAGCCTCAGCTTCTTTGTCCTAGTAGATGAGTCTATTAATACTTTTTTCACATTTGAGCATCATAGGAAAAGTGAGGAGGAATACGTACCCTCATGATATATTAGTTATTGTATCTTAAGCTCCACCATAGTGTCTATAATAGTGTACTTGAAAGAAAATACTTAGAAGAAATAGAGTGAAAAAATATTCCTTTATAGAATATGCAAAGTCTGAACTAGAATGAAAAGATGAACTAGAGGAAAAGACAAACATTCAGGTAAGCATCCCTTGGGATAGTCAAAAGATAACAATAACTTTGAAAAAGCATATTACAACTTAGGGTACCCAATGCCACCTCCAGACACGCAAAGAGCTTCAAGCCTAATTCTCCTTAGTTGGCAGCTGACATCAGCTTCAACTGAAGAAACTGGGGAGAGAGGTAAATTCAGCAAGATCACTCTCCAAAAAAAAAAAAAAAAAAAAAGCTGCTAAACATTGCAGAAGGAAATTAAGAATTAAGGTTCAGCCCTGAGGCTGTTAAGTAAGAAAAAACAGACTTCCTTGAACAGTAGCCCTCTTGCTTGGCAGATCAGCCCTGCAGAGGGTTTAATACAAAGTTGCTTTGATAAGACAATCCCGGACTCGCATTGAAGGCATCTCTTTGCTGTAAAGTGCTGGATTATAGCCAGCGATTTAATGGCCTCACAGCGTTAACAGCCTCTAAAAGGGCAGGTCCTTGATGTCTTGGACTACAACAGAAGCATTAAGCACCAACTTTTTCACAGAACAGCGTTGTCAGCACTGCCACCGACCCAGTGACCCAGTCGTCAGCATTCAACTCAGCTCATGTTAACTTCCACCGCCAAAGACTTTTTTTTTTTTTTTTTTTTAAATCTTCTCAGTTCAGGGATAGGGGACAAGCAACGACAGAACAATCTTCACTTGTCTCTACCACTCTTTGAACATTTTATATTTTCTGCTTCTACTGTCACTTCTTCATTTTGGAAGGCTTCTCTTCCAAATGTTGCTTTTTGCTATCAAACATCCTTGCAGCATACTTATAAACACTAATGCCTTGTCTTCCCTGTAATTCTGCAAGATCCCAGATCGTATTCCAGTGCTATTTACCTATTGTGTTCCTGCGACAACGGTGCCGTACAGGACATAGACAGGAGACAGACTTGTTACAACGACCACGCTATTCTAAACACAAAAAAAGAAGTAGTGCGTTGAAACCACAGAACGGAGCGTGAGCTCAGCTATTTCTTGTTATCCACGATGTCATTCTCTTCTCCCTGAGAAAGGGTAATTTCATTTAGAATGTCATGAAAGAAATGACTTCTTCAAGGAACAATTTGGCAGGGAAAATTCTGAAGTTTCAGAAAAATTTGGTTAGAAGGGACCTCAGGAGTTCTCTAGTCCAACCCTTTGCTCAAAGCAACGACAACTTCAAAGTTAGATCAGGTTGCTTTGGGCCTCGTCCAGTCGAGTTTCAAAAAATCTCTTAAGAAACAGATTAAAGAACCTCCCTGGGGAACCTGCTCTAGTGCTTAATCACTCTCAGGCTGAAAACTTCGTATCTCCAATCAAAATTTCCCTTCCTGCAGCTTGCGACTACTCCCTCTTGCCCTTCCACCTCTGAGGAGAGCCCATCTCTGTCATCTCCGTAACCTCCCATCACACTTACAGGTAATGAAAGTTGCAGTTAGATGTCCTCTTGGCTTTCTCTTCTTCAGTCTAAATGAACCCAGGTCCCTCAGTCCTCCCTTTCCCGACACGTTCTCCAGCCCTCAGATATTTTAGGCTCCTTCTTCTGGTCTCCCTCCAGCTTGTCAGCAGTTCTCCTGTATCAAGGTGCCCCAAATGGGGACAGTATTCCCGATGTGCCTCAGGAGTGCTGAGCAAATGGGAGTAATACTTCCCTTACCTGCTAGCTATGCTCCTGACAACGCAGGCCAACGTGTGGTTAGCTCTCACTGCCACAAGTGCACGTTGCTGACTAGTGTTTGATCAACGTGCTTATTGTGCACAGAATGACATCTCATTTCCAGCAGACAATTACAGAAAAAGGCAAAAAAATTGGTTTAGTAGTTACAGAATTAGCCAAGTCAGAAGACGAGATATAGACACTGGAAGAGATAACATCTGTACCACTCACTGTGGCAGATACAGAACCCAATGGTGGAGCAGTAAGATCTGCGGCTAGCAGATAGTTTGCACATAGCACTTGCCAAGCCAAAACCCAGCTTTATACCTGAAGCCAATGTGGGGGAAAGAAATCTTACCAAAGATGGTTCTGTGTTCTTTATTATTTTTTTTACGTCCCGTTCCGACAAAATGTACACTTCCAACACCAAAAACATCTCGAGCTGAAAATAGCTGTCTGTGATCTCTTCAAATTTAAATCTTACAGTGACAATAATCTTGACAATAAGGACAATTAATGAAGGACAGCATGGAAACTTAAGATCAGTTTCACAAGCTTCCCTGCAAAACCTTATTTTTGTTCCAGTTCCTGGAATCTGCACTGGTGACAGGTCACTCTGATAAGCCTTTTCCTACTTTGGGAATGGTTTAAATATCTAGTTCCCACTGACTTCATTGTTCTATATTGCAATAAAATTAAAAATTGACAACACACTTTCATGACCAAGATTTTAAGCACTTTCAAGATTTTTACCCTGCTCTTATATCTGTAAGTATCATCAGAGGCCCACTATTTTCCATCAAAATTTTCTTTATTCAATAAGGTCTCTTCATTCTGCATTCGCCGAAATTGGACACAAACCGTGTGCTACCATTTCATCATGTAAGTAGTGCTGGGAAGGAAAAGGATGTGGTATAAAAATCTACAAACCTGCCCTAAGACCATGACTAAAATCACTATGGTGCAACAGCTTGCAGTGAGGTTACTATAGTAGTACTAACACGCTCAGAGAACACTTTTGTTTCTGACACTACGTTTGCTATCTGGAGCAAAGCAAGGATTCAAAACAGGCAACGAGATCAGAATACGGTTCCATCTTTTGTGGCCAATTTCCTATTTGTGGTTCAACAGGGTTTTTGGAAGCGCTGAGATTAGGAGCACACCGTATGCAAGGAGTATACGGTGAACTGAGAAGAAAAAAAGTGCCCATTTTAGGTTTACTTCTCAAGCAGATGTCGTAAGAACGCATACATGCCGATTTCAAAATAAACGGGTGGTGACTTTTATGGCCCGACTACTTCCCTAATTTCAATATATACGTAAATGACATTCCATAAACTGAATCACTCAGTAGCCTATATCAGTTAGGAAGCTGCCAGCGCTACAGCCCAAGTGAGCTGACAGCAACACGTTTAACAAAGACCTTTCTATCGAACGCTATCGGAGCGCACAGCCAAATTCAAGTTCAAGCAAGATAAGCGAGATCCGTGGGAGCAGGAGCTCATCAGCCGGACAGCACACAGAGAGCCCTAACGAAACCATCTGGACGTTTTAATAAAGAAAAGTCAGGGAAAGGACTTTTAATTGTTCATTCAGACGGGACGCTGCTCAAAACACACGGAAATTATAAAGCAGTCGTTCAAAACAGAAGACAACCTATCAACTTCTAACTCACCTGACACGATCAAAAAAATCAACTTCAGAGCACGTAACGACTCCAAGGGTAATCTCGAGATGGGGATTTAGCCCTTCTTGTTGCCCTAAGAATAAAAGCCGTCAAGCTTTACTTCCCCCCCTTTAGCTTTTACCTCCCACAGACGATGGGC